ACACATACACACACACACATACACACACACACACACACACACACACACATATACAGAGAGAGAGAGTGGCCAGATTATTATGCGTTCAGAGATCATAAATAATCTGGTCACTCAGTGTATTTAAAAAAACACACACATATAAATTCAGACTTTCTTGATCTAAATTTACAAATCAAGTCTGTATAAAGGGTCTCTGCTTATGTTGAATTAGTACATTTTAAAATCATTTAAAAGATGATTTTCTTCTCTGCATAACATTGCCTTGCCTTACCTAAGGATTGGATTTCTCTTTTCTTTTACAAATTGCCCACACCCCTGATCCTGCTCCTTTTGACATTAGGCATTTGCTTTATGCCCAGTGCATTGTTTTCTTGGCATTTACTACAAATGGTCAGAAAATAAAGACAAAGAATGTAGAGCTAAAAATAGTTGAGTTATCAATCTTCATGGCTATTTTGGAATTTTGTTAGGAGCTGCTAAAAAGACTGAGGGAAAATGTACTGGTCTCTTTTTTTCTTAATTTAACTAATTCACTATGTTACTTCACATATCTTTGCAAGCATAAATAATGTAGCTCTGAAGTAATGAACAAAAAGCAATGGAAGAAAAATGACTCGTGAAAATAAGGTAGGTATTTTGTGGAAGGTCTGAAGAATGTTGGATAATTTTTGAACTGCAGGCAAGAAAAACAAAGTTGAAAAATACAATATAAAGGGTAGACACCAAGAAATAGGAAGAACAGTTAAAAGTAGGCTTTTTTTTCCATTTTAACTATGTTCTTCTTCTTTATTTACTTCCTATAATTGGGACCTTTAATTCAACTCTTTTAAGAAAGAAACCTCCAAAGTCAGTACCTTTCTTCTTTATCTAGCCATTCAGTGTGGCTTCTACTACCTTGACCTCTCCCAGTAATAATCCATCTTACAGACTGAAGACATAGTACTTTCCTCATCATGCTTCATACACATATTCACACACAGAGAGACACATACACACTGAGAGGGCCAGATAATGCAGTGCTTTGTAGGTCTTTGTAACACATTCGAGTTTCATATTTTATGAGGTGTAGACATCCAATAGATGGTCTCTATCGAAAATGAAATCTACAAGTAATACCTTTAAATATGAAGAATGATATTAGAAAGATCTATAAGGGGAAGTTGGAAACTAGGTGAGCATTGGTAGTGACAATCTTGGACCAGGAAAGGGAGGTGGAAAGACAAAGAAATGCTGATATGAGATACATTTTTAAGAAAGAATCAAAGGTGAGAATTTTAAGAAAGTAACTTTTAATTCAATGAAAATTCTCACCTTTGACCTTAGTTATATCTACTCATTAAATGGATAAAGATATACCAAATTCAAAACTACTTTTACCACATTTTAGTGATAAATGAGTTATAAAAACTTAATATAGAATATCCTTGCATTGCAGAGGAAATAGGACTAAAAAGAACCCAGCATTATATTTTTAGGATTCTGAACATTCAATTTGCAAGAATATATTATAAGGAGTATATTAGAGTTCCAGAAAGAAAAATTAATGACCTAGCGTGACCTAGAAGTTGGCTGAGAAAAGGGGGAAAAAATCTGCATTAGCCATCTAACTTGTCATTTTATAAAGGTTATTTATTTTTAAAAATATATGCCTGGGAGGGGTGGGGGCTGGGTGGAGAAGGGAAAAATGGGGGAAATAGGGGACATATATAATACTGTCAATAATAAAACCTATATATAACCTTATATATGCTTAAAAAACATATATACTACTTATGGGTGTTATGTATTTCCTATTATAAATGAATTTTGTTTGTTTGTTTTCCTCTGTGTTCATTGATTAAGGTATTAGATATAATTTTAAAAATCTACCATTGACATTTTCCCAGCCAGAATGTTCCTCATAATAATACCTCTTATTTTTATAATGCAGAAAGAACTGATAAGCAAAGGAGTGCATGCTGTAGACCCAAAGCAGATTTGGGTTCAAAGGTAAACTCCTAGTAGTCCTGTGACTTTAAGAGATTATCACTAATCTGACTTGAAATCTGTTTCTTCACCTCTAGAAAGTGGGAATATCATTTGTTCTGATGGTTTCTGATAAAGTCTAAATACGCAAATGCTCATAAATGCACAAAAATTGTGTAACAGAGACTTACATTAAGTAAGCACTCAGTGAGAATCTACACTAATAAAAGCCTGAGGCCCTCATATCATCACAAGATGGCCACCCCCACATCATAATAAGATGGCCACCATAAGATGGCCAGCAGGGGAGGGCAGTTGTGGTTGATCAGGCTAGCAGGGGAGAGCAGTGAGGGGCAACCAGGCTGGCAGGAGAGGGCAGTTGGGGGTGATCTGGCAAGAGAGGGCAGCTGGCAGGGGAGAAGTTAGGCACCAATCAGGCTGGCAGGGGAGCAGCTAGGGGGTGATCAGGCTGGCAGGAAGAAGCAGTAAAGGGCAATCAGGCAGGCAGAAACATAAGTGGTTAGGAGCCAGCAGTCCCGGATTATAAGAGGGATGTCCGGCTGCCGGTTTAGGCCTGATCCACCGAGGGCTCCCAGATTAGAGAGGGTGCAGGATGGGCTGAGGGACACACACATCATTGCACAAATTTCTTGCACCAGGCCTCTAGTCTATATATAAAAGCCTAAGCAACCAAAAGACTGTTTGACCATTCAACCTGTAGCTATGATGTGTCCTGACCACCAAGGGGCAGATGCTCAACAAACAGGCATGGAAACATGGGACAGATTGATGAATCTCAAAGGGAGGGGGGGAAAGGAGAGAGGGGAGGGTGGGAAGAAATTAACCAAAGATCTTATATGCATATTAGAGGCTTGGTGCACAGATTCATGCACCAGTGGGGTCCCTCAGCCTGGCCTGCAGGGATCAGGCTGAAACCTGCAGTGCAACATCCTCGAAGGACTCCCAGATTGCAAGAGGGTGAATCTGTGCACTGAGCCTCTAGTACCATTATAAAACAGTAAATTATTATTATTCATCAAATTATTTTCAATTCCAAAGTCTGTCAGGGAATTTGCAGGAAAGTATTTTAATAGGGATGGAGCAGAGTTGAAAGAATATCAGGGGCTATGTAATCCAAATGACATATTTTATTTTTAAGGGGAAATAAATCATTATACAGTGGAACCTTGGTTCTCCAACTTAATTAGTTCTGGAAGCATGCTTGAGAAGCAATTTGTTTGAAAACAGAATCATTTTTTTTCCATTAGAAATAAGGTAAATTGAATTAATCTATTTCAGACTCCCACATAATTCTCTGTTTTAAACTTTCTTATATGTCTAATGTACTGTTTAACCTATAAATACATACTTATTTTCCTAAATTATTTGAGCATCCCCCTACTGGCTTTAACGGAATCACTTTCAGCACTTGTTCCAATGGTTTCATTCAGGAAGTTAGTATGCAGCATCTTCGCTTGTTCATATATCACTGCCTCCAAAATGCAGGCACTGGCTAACTGCTTTTCCTTTTTCCAAATCAACAACAAATTTTCTACCTCTTCAATTGCCTGGGATCCTTGCTTTTTTCACACCCTCAGCAATATTAGCACTCTGGATGGCCTCTTTATGTTTTAAAATTGCGCTAATTGTCCATTTCACCATCAACAAAAGTATTTCTCTTTTGTTTGTTGCCTGAGAGACTTTTGGTTCAACAACCAACCGAAATATTTTTTCTGTGAACAACTTGGTGAAAAACAGAATGGCTCCAGATGGGAGATGTTTGAGAAATGAGGTCTGCCTGTAATTATTTGCTTTACTTAAAAACCCATACATTTAATAAATTTAATAAACTATAAACTTTATAACCATGACCCTGTCTTAATTGTAACAGATGCTACTTCCTGTTCAGATAATTTCTTTCCTGCTACTGAAAGGCCTGCCTGATAAAAGGGCTGACATCATTCCTCCCAAGGCTCTTTCCTTTCTGAACCTCTGAATGGACAGGGAATAAAAACAGAAACACATCAGTGACTGACATATTTCTAATCGATTAAAACAAACCTCGGAGCAATAGGCAAATGTGCTATTTTTATAACTGGATAGTAGAACATGTATTTTAAAATATAACATATGATATAAATTTAATACATACACAATAAAATAAATAGAATTCAAAACAAATTTAAAAATAAAGTATAAGTATATTAAATATAAGGTATCTCCAAAAATGTATTTATACACTTTGAATCATTATAGAGGCAGTGTTTATTAAAATATATTTCATTTTAAAAATTGAGCTATCAGCTGTTAAAGTATGTATGTATTTTGGGGGAAATACCCTGAATATAAGCCATTATTCTTTGCCTAGAAAGTCATGCCTAGGTGTGGGAAATTAATATAAATTCTATGTTGGGAAAATAATGCTTTATAGAGAACATATACTGAACATTTACAATGTGCCAGGATATATAGGAAACATTTTATATGCATTTTCCCTTGTTATTCTCCCCAACCCTATGAGGTAGATGCTATTGTTCCTACTTGACAGCTGAAGAAAGAGACAGATTTAAGTAACTGTCCAAAGTCATACAGCTGGTCAGTTGCAAAGGCTAGGCACTCGATCTACCTTTGTCTGATTCCAGAGCCTGCCCCTTTAAGGTATTCTCTCTTACAGTGAAAACAAAAATATCTGTAAACTCCACGAAACTTAAGAATGTTTTACAAGACTAATAATAAAAATAAGCTGTGGTAATAGCAGTAATAGCAACAGAGAAAGTCATGTACTTGGCCTCTAGTTTGCTTCTGACAACAAATTGGTTGAAGACCTCAAGTTCTGGAGGAGGGGGGAAGGCAAGGGAACACTAAATCATAGTGAAGGTTTTTTCCTTTAAAAATTAAATTCTGTTTCTCTAGCCTCAGAATGAAACGCTGTTCCAGAACGACTATGTAAGACATGACTCCGGGAACCTTTCTTATTACACCGAGAGCACAGACCTGCAAATCTCCCAGCGGTGGCTGCATGCAGGCCAGCTTACCTATAAATGAACGGAGCCACCGTGGCCGTGTTCGGGTGGCTGTGCTGCTGCTGAGGGAGCTGGACAGCACCATTTCCCGTGGTCTGCCCACTGCCCTGTGCCCCTGACCCAGCACAGGAGCCAGAGGGAGAGGCGTGGCTGGCCTCCCTTCCTTCCAGCGGAGCGGGGCAATTGGATGTGCTTGCTTTCTCGGTGATTATGGGCTTAGGTAAGGACTGGGAAGGGCTTCCCTTGGTAGTCCTGAATTTTTCAGACTCTTTGTTGGCTGTGCTGCCTGGTGAAATGGTCTGTTTGGCTGTCGGCACCTTAGAGCCCGGTTTGGGGATCCCGCTGGAGGATGGGATTAGGCTTTCCTTCTTGGTGGCAGTTGCCTTGCTGCCCTTTGGGATCAAACTTGCAATTTTAGAAGTCTTTTTCGGGGCCGTCTCCGTCACCTGATCCTTCTCCTCCTTGACTGTTTTTTCAGTGCAAACTTTATTTTTGTCCCTGTTCTTGTCCTCCTTTTCCTTTGGCTGTAGCAAAGACTTTTTATTGCTGAGATTTTTGCTGCCAGCTTTTGGAGGGGCTAACTTAGGGGACGCTTTGGGGCTGCTATTGGTGGAGCCACCGCTATTCAGACCACTGTTGAAGCCTTCCATCTCACCAGATTCAGAAAAGACATCGTCATCCTTCCCACCATCACTGGGTCCTGAACTGGGAGCCTGCGGGGGGCGTAACGCAGTCCTGGCATTGACCAGCTTGAATTTTTCAAGCATGGATTTTTGTCCCGAGGGAGCTGTTTTGACCCCTTCAGAGCCAGGGGGCTTTAGTCTGTCCGTAGATGGTGTGGGAGAGGTGGCTGGGCTCGGCTGCTTTACTGTCAGCATGGTAGAGGTGGCACTGTGCTTGACATTCATGGACTTGCTGCGCCAGGGCTTGGCACTCGGAGAAGGGATGGCGGAGGCAGGGGGCTGCCCAGCAGTGGTGGGGGGCTGCATGTTCCCATTGATACCTGAAGGTGGCTGAGGTCCTTTGGAGGGATCTGGACATGAAGAGAAGAAGCACAGAAAAGGCTGATTAGATTTAGCCACTGATACTGAGTAATCCTAACTGCAGATGCATAGAAGTATTTCTTCTGTGAATATGCTATATAGTGAATATTGAGAAATTGCTTAAACCTATAGGTAGCCTACCTTTTCATTATCTGATTAAATAACCTTATGAATCATGATTTCATTTTTTGTTAATATTGTTTATTTTTATTTGTTTAAAAATCCTTTAAAAGGGTCAAATAATCTTATATGCATCAAATAATCTAAATATATATATATATATATATATATATATATCCTATATAATAAAAGCCTAATATGCTAAGTGTCCAGTTGATTGTTTAACCAAAGCACAATATGCTAATGATATGCTAAGGCTGCTCAACCATTCACTATGACATGCATTGACTACCATGGGGAAGACAGTTGACTAGTCAACCAGTTGCTATGATGGGCACTGTCCACCAGGGGGCAAATTCTCCAACTGGTATGTTAGCTTGCTGCTGGGGTCCAGCCGATCGGGATTGAATGAGACTGGCTGGACATGCCTTGGAGTTCTCCTGTGGTCCCTCTCCAACTGGCCAACCTCCCACATCTCTCCCCTGCCCCAATCATGCACAAGTGGGGTCCCTTGGCTTGGACTGTGCCCTCTCACAATACGGGACCCCTTGGGAGATGTCAGGGAGCCAGTTTCAGCCTGATCCCGCAGGCCAGGCCGAGGGACCCCGCTGTGCATGAATTCATGCACTGGGCCACTAATCTATCAATAATAACCTTAACTATAAATGGACTAAATGCTCGAATAAAAAGACATAGGATAGCCAAAACCAGTTTGGCTCAGTGGATAGAGCATCGACCTGCAGACTGAAAGGTCCCAGGTTCAATTCTGGTCAAGGGCATGTACCTTGGTTGTGGGCATATCCCCAGTAGGGGGTGTGCAAGAGGCAGCTGGTCAATGATTCTCTCTCATCAATGTTTCTAACTCTCTATCCCTCTCTCTTCCTCTCTGTAAAAAATCAATAAAATATATTTTTTAAAAGGACATAGGATAGCTAAATGGATATGAACACATGAGCCAAATATATGGTATCTATAAGAAACCCACTTCAGAACAAAGAAATCACACAGGATGTGAGTAAAGGCATGGAAAAAATTTTTCCATGCAAATGGAAATATAAAAAAGCTGGTATAGCAATATTCATATATGACAAAATGGACTTCAAAAATGAAGGCCATCGCAAGAGACAATAAAGATCACTACGTAATACTAAAGGGATTGATTCAACAGGAGGATATAAGCTTGGTAAACATATATGCTAAATGTTCCATAGCTGTGTTGTATTAATTTTCTTCACTCTTTGAATATTCTAAACCTTTGCCAGTTCCACATTCACCTGGCCGTTTGCCAATTTATGGTGAGGGACCACAGAGAACCAAAAGCAGCCCCTCAAGTTTCCCTAATGTCCTTTATTTCATCATATTAGCCACCTATTTAACATGTGTCATGCATGTTTATGCAACTGGATTAAGAAGTCAGTGGGACTCCAGCCCTGGCATATCTGAGAACTTTGGTGGCATTGAGAGGAGAGGGTAGAAAAAAAATAGTCAAGGTGCTTTAGAAATATGCTGACATTAGCTAGATAGACTGCGATCAGTGCTCAAGTACAGAAGAGGAATTTCAATATCACTGCAGTGAAAACTGAGAGTGGAGGGACTACAAATTAGAACATCCACCACCACGGTCACAGCAACAGCTCTAAATTTGTTCTCAGATGAGTGCACACGTACAAGACACTTCTCTAAGCTCAACTGAAATCTGTCCCCAGCCTGTGTTTCTATACAGCAGCAACGAGAAGCTTCAAGTTTCATTAAGAGGGCAAACCATAAGCTGCTGTGCATCAAGAGGGCATGGATAACGAGTCCCTCCGGACTCCGCCCAATGAAGGTTGCACAACAACCCTTGCTGAAACGACAGTGTCCATATCTTCTACAGAGTGGGTGTGGCCACCCATTCCAGGCTCTGTGCCATCTATATATTCAATATTGAGTCGCTGGTCAAACGGAGATATTTCTGAATGTTAATAACTCAGCTTTTGACTGTGAATGAGTTGTTATCTGGCTATGGGGAAAAGAGCAGATGCCTAAGGTACTATGTAAAGGCATTCCTGCAATTGATTTTATCTTGTATTTTCAGGGCCTATTTGTGCCTACAGCCCTGTTTCTTGCCTCTGACCTTCAAGGAAAAAAAAAATTTTTCCATTCGTTTCCTCTCCTTTCCTTCCCCTTCTTCTCCCATTTCCATATCTCCCATCACCAAATCCACTACAGACAAATAATGTAATTCATCCACTGCCTGCTTTTTCCCAAGTACTCCTCACACATGGTGTCAGATTTAAAGGTCATCATATGTGGTATCTCATTGAAAGCCATAATAATCTGCATTATACTTATGATTTCTCTTGTTAGAAATAAGAAAACCGAAGCTTAGAAAGACAAACCAACTTGTTCCAATTTATACTGATAGCAAAATTTAGGGGGGAAAAAATTGGAACTCATCTGACTCTAAAATTTGGAGGCTTTTGACTCTTTTTTCCATGTTTGTTGGATGTCCAGAAATTCTTCTGGGACAGCTCTCCAGAAGGCCACATGTTGAGCACAACAGTGAAGTTAACTGGGTAACTTATGAAGTGTAGTTTTCTTCCTCATTGATCGGTATATAAATGAGAACATCATAAAGAGATGAAATATATGTGGGTTGCCAAAGTAGGTTACAATTGTAATACAAATGAACAATGCGATGATTAATAAATAATAATATAAGAATAAACTCTGTTTTGCTTGCCCACACCTATATACTATATCCTTGGGCATCCTGTTTGTGCTATCCTTCAGAAATAATATAATAATAGATTTTATTTTTATAAGTTTTTATTTATTTTAGAGAGGTGCAGAGAGGGTGAGAGGGAATGGAAAGAAACATCGATGAGAAAGAAACATTGAACATTTGCCTCTTGCATACCCCCTCCTGGGGATAAAGTCTGAAACCCAGATATGTGCTCTCACACAAGGAATTGAACTGGTGACCTCTTGTTCATATATCTACAATTAATCACTGAGCCATGCCAGCCGGGCAAGAATATACTTTAATTAACTCTTAGAAAACATCTAAATTCTAAAACATTACATTTCTAAATTCTAAAAATCCCAGAATTCATTTTTAATGATCTCATCTTGCAAAACAATAACATTGATGACCTGGGGAAAATGCCAATCTAGTTTTAAAATTAATACATAGAGGTAAATATGGGGGCCACAACAGGCATATGGGAAATTTATATATAATATATATGTATGTTTTTGGTTGATAATATTACAGATATCTCCCATTTTCCCTCCTTTTCCTCCTCATCTAGGAGAATTCTCTGTGGAACTTTAGTTTGCTCTAGAACCTAGCTAGATGTGCCAACAGTGTTATTAGCCTCAGAACGGATGCAGGGAACATACTCAACATTATTTCTTCTTCCTCACTGAATAGTGTATTACTCAAATGGAAGGAAACCAGTTTTTAACTCAAATGCTAACAAAAAGAAACAATATGGATGACAACAGCAGGATTCTTTTGAAAGGATTCACTGTGTAGCAGCATTGTACTCAGTGATATATATGTCTCCTGCTAAACTTAGGACAATTTAAGCATCACAGAACACTGTGAAAGGGAGAAAATGATTAATCAAAGGTGGTCATAGCCATTAGTTTGGCAAATAATAAATTTAGACTCTCATTTCATAATACACACCAAAATACTTTTGAACATTTTAAAATGTAAAAAAAAATAAATAAATAAAATAAGTAGCATTCAAATCCAAATATATATATATATATATATATATATATATATATATATATATATATATATATATATATATACTGTAACCTGCTGGCCCCTTGTTCACCTCACTGAACTCTCTCCCATAAATGATTGCCTGTATAATGCCTCCATCATCAATTTTATGACTCAGCAAAAATATAGATCCTAGAGACCCTGAGCATTTGGCACATGCTTATTTTGTAGCACTCCCAAAGTTAGAGCGCCACTTGGTGGAGTATTGTAAAATTGAGGGAAGCTTCCGTCCACCAGCCAGTTTTAAAAAAAAGTATGCAATTTCTGTATAGGCATGTATGACATGTATACACTTCAATATGAGCATTTATACCTGAGCAGACAACATATGCCCCCATGTCTATTTAACCATAACACCTGATATATGTACCTAATTATGTTGCCTCATGAAAATCCCAAAGATTAAGTTGAAATTATCATGTAAACATTATTTTTCAAGCTAATATAAGTATTAAAAAATAAAAGTTACGGTGAAATACATAATTAAACAATCAATGTAGGAATATAAATAAAATATATATGCATTGTCTTGAAAAGGAAATAAAACAATTCATCGATCTCACAGTCATTACAGAGCAATTAAAAACAGCAACAACCCACAAGTCAACAAACAACAAGTGTTGGCGAGGATGAGGAGACAAGGGAAGGCTCATGCATTGTATGTGGGAATGAAGACTGGTGTATTTGGGAAAACACTAAGGAGTATCCACAAATAATAAAAAATGGAACTGCCTTATGACCCAGCGATTCCACTTCTTGGTATATATCTAAAGAAATTCAAAGCATTAATTCCAAAAAATATATGCACCCGTATTTTTATTGCAGCATTATTTATAATAGTCAAGTTACGGAAGAAATTCAAGGGCCCATCAATAAATGAGTGGATAACAAAACTGCGGTACATATATAAAAAGGAATATTACTCAGCCATTGGAAAGAATGAAATTTACCATTTACAAGAGTGTGGATGAACCTAGAGGGTACTGCACTGAGTGAAATAAGTCGTCAATCAGAGAAAGACAAATATCATATGATTTTGCTAAAGAACAAAATAAATGAACAAACAAAACAGAAAGAGATTCACAGCTACAGAGAAAAGTCTAATGGTTGGAGAAATGGGTAAAAAATGTGAAGGGATTAAAAACTACAAATTGGTAGTTACAAAATAGTCATTGGGATGTAAAGTACAGAATAGGGAATAGGCAATATGCTGTAATAGTTGTATATGGTAACAGATAAGTACTAGAAATATCAGGGAAAACACTTTACAAAATATATGAATGTCTAACTACTATGCTGAAACTAAAACAAAATAATATGGAATGTAAATTGTAATTTAAATATAAAATTTAGCCCTGGCCTGTTGGTTGAGTGTCATCCTGTTTTGAAATGCCAGTTCAGTTTCTAGTCAGGGCACATGCCTGGGTTGCAGGCTGGATTCCCAGAAAGGGTTGTGCAGGAGGCAGCCGAACAGTGAATTGCTCTCACAACAGTGTTTATCTCTCTCCCTCTCTCACTAAAAATCAATTAAAAATAAAATTTAAATTAAAAAAAGTACTTCCTAAATTAGTTAATCTCGGGGGGTTGGGGGGTGGAGGGATGTCAAAGGATTTGCATTCCCCTAAAAGAAAAATGGAGAAAATACTTAAGAACTAGAAAATAATACTTAAGATCTATATTTATAGGAGTCAAAATTCCATGGCTAATACAACATTCACATTCAACCTTGTAGTTTTCAAAAGTTCAATTGCAAATGTTGCTAAAGTCTTAGTATGGAGCCCATTATATGTATGTTGTGTAAATGAAAGTAAACACTTCCACCCATTAAGACCCAGGCGAAGATGGAATGGGTCATCTTCAGTTGATGCACAGGTACAATGTACACATCACAAGGGAGAAACAAGGAAAAGATGGCAGCATGCCCTCCAGTGCTGGGGCATGTCTCCTAGCAACATGGAAAACAACTGTCTGTTCACAAAATATCAAATAATAAGTATTTATAGATCATCATTTAGAAAATGAATTTCCAATAGAGCTAGGAATATTAACATTCTAAATCATTCCAAACTGTGTAGTCTTTTTCATACGTATCCAGATTTTATCAAACAAGAATGATTTCTTATGATAATTTACTTCAGGAACATAAAGTGTATGTCCAAATGAATCAGGGCATCATTTTCTTAGGATCCCTGATTCCCAGTGAACAGATATTTGATGTTTCTTTAAAGCATATATCTGTCTAGAATACTCTTGTCCAGTACATGGGCAAAGTGATAAATGCTGGTGTCAGGACATATTACTTATTCATTGTTAGTTTCTAAATGGCAAGTGACTAAGAGAATAAATTTGGACTCTCAAAAGAAATGATTTATCTAGAAACAATGCTATCTTCATTTCACAACTTGTTTTGAGAAAAAAAAAATTCCCATTTCAACAGAATGGTGGAATGATATTGCCTTCTATTACAGCATTTCTATTTCAACCTTCTCTTCTAGCGATAATCTATAGTCATGTTCACTGATATTTAATTCATTAAGTGAAATGCTGAAATGAACATTATTATTAAAATAATGTGAGATGTATCTCTTAAAATGCAGTTTATAATTCTCTGTGATTTCTTTTCATTAGTTGTCGCACAATTTGCAAATAAGCTATTTTATAATCCCATATATGTGAAAAGCTACTGTACTTTCAACAGTATTTTTAAAACAGGAAAATGAAATCATTTTATTTGTGAATAAACCTTTACTATCCTATATAATAAAAGGCTAATATGCAAATCGACTGAACATTGGGCCAACTGGTCACTATGACACAGTCTGACCAACAGGGCAGCGTTAAGGATGTCTGAATGATGGCTTACATCCACTCTTGGAGGTAGCAGGCCTAAGCCATCAGTCAGACATCCCTCAAGGGATCCTGGACTGTGAGAGAGCACAGGCCAGGCTGAGGGGCCCACCCCCGGCAAAGTACATGAACTCTGTGCCCCAAGCCTCTAGTCTATTATAAATTAAAGAGATTCTTCATAGATTCATAGCACTCATCAACTAAGACTTGTAACAGAAGGAAGAAGCCGAGACTGGTTTGGCTCAATGGATAGAGCATCAACCTGTGGACTGAAAGGTCCCAGGTTCGATTCCAGTCAAGGGTATGTATCGTGGTTGCGGGCACATCCCCAGTAGGAGGTGTGCAAGAGGCAGCTGATAAATGTCTCTCTCTCATCGATGCTTCTAACTCTTTATCCCTCTCCTTTCTTCTCTGTAAAAAATCAATAAAATATATTTTTTTTAAAAAAGAAGGAAGAAAGTATATTTATATTTAAAAGCATTTAAGAAGCACATTAGAGATTAACTTGGTTAATCCTTTAAAAATATCCTATTCTATAAATTTTAAGGGTTATAACTTCTAAGAACTTAAAGGAATAGCAATTAAAATTAGAATATGAAAGCTAATACTGTCTGAATTCTGTCATTATAATACTGTAACTTTTGAAAATTCTTACTTAATTTTAATCTCATTTGGTTATGGCCAGAATATGTATGCAAACTAGCTTTGACAGAGACCAACATGTAAGCAGATGGAATCTTACATTGTTATATATATTATGCCACCACTACAAATCTTCATGTCAAAAAGGTTGAATAAAATATTCATACCAAAAAAGATATACCACTGAAATAGTATAAAAAACAAATTATAAATAGTTTCATACGAAATGTTTATTATTATTTTGATTGCTCTCATAATTTATGTTTTTGAAATATGAAATATCATGACACAAATATTAATTTAGAAACATTGATATTGGATATATTGACATAAATTTGTAACTATTTATTTACAGAAAATGCCACATAGCATATAAAATAAATTCCAGATAGGTATAACTCGCCAGGAAAACTTTTGTCTTTTGCCCTAGTTTTGGACCTAAGGATATCTGCTTTTCATGGTTAAGAACCTCATAATGTGTGGCATCTGTCTCCATCTTGTGGTTACTGTAAATATTGCTGTTTTCTAATTTAGCATTACTTCCTAAATATACCTGAGAGACTGAGAGACTCTGAAAATATATGACTGCTTGCCTACTTTTGTATTTTTACATTAAACACAATAGGAAAATTATTTCCCACAACAGGAAAATTCAGATACATTATGATATCAAAGCGTTAGGTCATCTAAAGCATTTCTAGGTCTCTTTGTCAATGTTATTAGTAATTGCTTGAAAAACATTATATAACTGTAGTTAAATATTATACACTGAGTGGCCAGATTATTATGCATTCAGAGATCATAATAATCTAGCCACTCAGTGTATATCACATAGCTAAATTGATACTTAAGCAGCCTGTTTAGGAAACTCTATATTTGTTTAGTTTCCCTTAGAATTACACTGAAACCAGTTTGGCTCAATGGATAGAGTGTTGGCTTGGGGACTGAAGGGACCCGGGTTCGATTCCGGTCAAGGGCATGTACCTTGGTTGTGGGCATATCCCCAGTAGGGGATGTGCAAGAGGCAGCTGGTCGATGACTCTCTCTCATCAATGTTTCTATAATAGCTCTATCTCTCTCCCTTTCTCTCTGTACAAAATCAATAAAATATATTTTTTTTAAAAAGAATTTCACATTACATACAGACCCTGTATGACACTTCTAGGAAAATCTCAAAATGAGAGAAATGTTTTTCTGATAAGAAATTGTTCTCCTTTTTCTCCCCAGAAAAAATAGAAGTCTTAGGTAATACACCTTAGGTTCTTCAATCAATGGTTTATTCTATATCTTAAAGACAAACCCCTAACTTTCAAAAACCTATTATTTTCTTATTTTTCCTTTAGGTTAAAAAACTAGAGCTATATCAGTATCAAAACACATTTCTTTGCCCGAGGTCAGTGGTCAGCAAACTGCGCCGCATGCAGCTCCAGAGCCATGGTTTGCCACTCTGTTGACTAATGAGTTTGCCAACCATGGACCTAGACTCTCGATTCTATAATTACAGGCTATTGTTGTTCCTTGTAATTAAGCCCCTATCCCAGTGGTCAGCAAACTTTCAGACCACTGCAGTCCCTCACACGGTCACATTGCTTACAATAGCATAGGATTTTGATTTTTTTTCTTATGATTTAGGTGTAAACTACATACTCGCTTGCTTGTACCCATGCTCCATGGTGAGATGCATCGAGCCAGCACCTCTTGAAATGCACATTCTGTACATTGTAGAAAACTGTGCTTCGTACAGTTAATATATAACCTGACTTTAGCACAGACTTCTGCTGTGTTCTTTCTTGCTGATAACTTGGAGTTTTGATAGTTCTATTATGCATTCTTCCAAGGAAATAAAACAAACGAATAATTCGTTTCTTTACAAGTTTCAAAGATTAAATACCCATCATAATTATCCTTCAAATGTTTACACTCCAACCTTAATTGCCCAAAATACTATGGTACTTATTTATGTTAACTAAAGCTAAGGATACAAATAATGTAATATAAATGTATGACTTTAGGATAAATGTTCATAAAAACATGAGAAGAGAAAACAAAATGCTATTTATAGGCCTCTGAGAGAAATTATTTGAGAAAGAGATCCTATTCTGTATACAACTAAGGACTGAAACGTAAATGAGTTTGTATTTTTAAAATGATCTTCAGATAAGAAAAGCCCTGAAGAAAGCTGGAATTCAGGAGGGGCAGTTAGAAAACACAGGAAACTTCACTGGTAATGTTTCCATTCCAAAAGCTGTGACACTGCTCAAATATTGCACTTAGTATGTAATTGATGATACACATATGTTCAACGGATGTCACCATGCGGTAACAGGCTGACACTTACCTTTTTCATTGCCATTTGCATATGTCGGAGGCTTGTTTTTGTCAATGCTGTTAAAGCTCTGACTTCTCCTATTTAAGTTAGAGGCGCCCTGGGCCTTGCTGCTGCTGCTGCTGCTGCCCGCAGCAGGCACCCTAGAGGGACCTGGAAGCCTGAAATAGTACAAGAAAAATTACGTCATTATTGTACATTCTGAAAAGCTGTGGAGAGGGCGGTTCTGAGAAGGGAAGAGTTCATAGGAGAATCACAACATATGAGGTTCTAAAATCTACGCAGCAGAAAACGATGCTTTAAGTGACCAATAAATAGCTAAGGTTTGAGAATCTTCAGAGGAAAAAAAAATCTTGTTACACTTTTCAATAAATATAGCTTCAAAGTATATTAATAATATAGAGTAATTAGAAACCAAGTCACCTTTAACTGAAAGAAACCATACTTACCATATCCTGATGAATAAAAATTCCATTTAAAAGTACTGTAACAATTACATGAAAAGTGATGGAAATAATAACACCTTATCATGTTCTCAGGGCATTAACCAGCTATCTGCAGCTGTTTTGAGCTGTTCTTATCACTGTATAGATATTTGTTTTTATCTCCAGTAGCTGTATCCTAAATCAACTTGTACATCAATGACAAGAAGAATGAAGTTACTGAACTACCTGCAAAGAGTAACTACTTATTGAATACTTAAGTTAGCTAGCTACTCTAAAACCTGGAATGAAGAGCAAGGTTACGAGTCCATTCATTTCTGTCCAATTTCATTGTCATTAAAAGCTTTTAATCTGTTGCCAAGGTAAGCCCCTCACAAGTGTAGCCAACTGATTATAGAGACAATATAAGAAAGACACAGGTCTCAGCAGAAGAAAATCTCTGTTCGTAGAAAGACAATTTAAAATACACCAACACTGACAGTAACTTCAGCTATCCTTTGTCTATGAAGGACAGGCCATTATGAAAGATGTGCAGAAAGTCTTGAAATTAGGAGAAGTTTGGCAGGAAGTTATAACCGTCAGTTACTGTATTTGGACTATAAATACTAGTTTGGATCATTTATTTTACTGTTTAAGTGATTTCCATGTTAAAATGTCAAGTTTCAATTTTTTTTCATGAATTGTGCTTAAAATGTACAATTACTATATTTTATTTTATACTACTGATATACCTTGTACATATAGTAAAATCAATCCACATAAATTAAAAACTAGGAATTAAGAACTAATACTGGAATTCTGAGATATATTTAAATACATGACAGTAAAGGATGCTAGCCACTTGGTAGTGTTTGCTGCCACCATGTGAATGCCTTTGTGTACTGCTGTAATAATTTCCCTTTTAAAGAAAAGAAAACCCACAAAAACATCACTGAATTTTTTACTGGTATCTTTTATAAAATGTTTAAAATAAAAGAATGTTTATATATGTCATGTTGGTGCCTAATATATCACAATTTCACAACCAGTGTGATAATACTCACATTTTAAATCAATTTACAATATTTCTTAATATATTATGCCTATAGATGATTAGGAAAGTGAATGCTTAAATAATTTAAATACTACTTTTTAAAACAGTAACGGATATTGCAAAATGGAATGAACATAAGGAAAACACAAATCGCAGCTTAAAAACAGAAGTCTTGATTTCTTGGAATAGTTAATAGTTTCAAAATGTTGATTTTATTTTGGAGTTTAAATATGTGGCTAATAAAGATCTCATCAGCCATTTTGCTAATGAGAGGTTGTGTCATACACAAGATTAGAATTTTTTCCAAATGATTCCAGCAATTACATTTTTGCTCAAATTGAATAACGGACATTGTAAGTAAAAGCACAATAACCACAGACACTGAGAGCCAGTGATTGCCCTCCGCACAAAAGACTCAATAATTAATTTGGCCAAATGTCCCAATCATAATAAATTTAAAAACTATTCCTGTAGACCCAATCATAGATTTTAAAGTTCTTTCCAAACTCACATGTATAAACAAACTTGCCACCAAACTTGCCCTGCTTGCAATAAAAGTTCATCTGTTTCTAGAAAGCAATTAAAATATGTTTTAATCTTTACTGGGACCCATGAAGCCAAGTGATGTTTAGTTCTCAGTCAAACAAATTAAAAAATCCATTTGCTCTTCTCATTATCCTCATTTGACAGGCAGCCAGAACTCCAGATCATTCATCAAAGTAATAAAAAGAGAAATGAGAATAAAGCTTAAAAAAGGAAGAAATCGAGATATTCTATTAAATCAAAGTCCTTAAAATATATTTTATGTGCATCAGTCTTGGAAGTAGTAAAAAAATAAAATGCTTATGTATGTGACAGCTCACTGCTTGATTCATAACATCTCTAATGTTCATTGAATACCCCTTTAATTTTTCTCTCCAGAATAACTGTAATTATTATGGAAATGAACATATATAATAACTTAGAAAACCGAGTTTAGGGGAAAAGCACATACCTCAAATTAAGGTATCATAAGCAGTCCTCGTGGTCAAACACTGCACATCATGATTCATTATCACAGCAGTGACCAGTAAACCACCCCTAGATACTTCCCCAGCGAATGAGAGGCATATATAATCGCATAATAATCAGGGAACAAGACACATCTGCTGTGGCTTCGCTCAGCTGTTCCATGCTACCATCATGATGCCTTCAGCAACTTCACAATGAAAAGGGAACCAAACACTTTCAACACATTTTCGTATACCAGTATTTTCGTATTTTTCAAACAACACATGATGAAATGTCATTTATTATAACAAACTGTCTTTAAAATACATACATCATAAAGAAGCCAACATTAAATATATAACAGATAAAAGAACAGGCCAGGCTGACCTGGTGCTAACTTCCCCATATACCGTATTTTCCGGCATATAAGACGACTCCCTAATTTTACAGTTAAAACATAGGTTTAGGCCTATATTCACTGTATAAGACTACCCCCTACTTCCGAGGCAACACCAGTTCTTTTTTTTTAATAGACCGCCTCTCTGACTCTGGCCAATCTGAGCAGGCTTTTTAGTAGAACACAGTGTAGGTTTGGGTACAGAACATGTATAATTTGCATGCATAAAAAGCCTGCTTGGATTGGCCAGAGTCAGGGAGGCGGTCTATTAAAAAAAGAACTGGTGTTGCCTCGGAAGTGGGGGGGGGGGGGGGGGGATCGTCTTATACAGCGAATATAGGCCTAACCCTATGTTTTAACCGTAAAATTAGGGGGTCGTCTTATACACCCGGTCGTCTTATACACCGGAAAATACAGTAAGTCTGCCAGTATTTCTTCATTCTGCTTCAAAATGGACAATAATTAATGCACGCCCATCTCAGAAAGCAACTGTAATGTTCGTGCATAACTTACAGATTCCGTGAACCTGAGTGGGTTCCTCCAAGCGATTTCTTCTTTGACTTTCTCTAAGCCTGAGAGCTAGACTTCAGCCCAGATATAGTATAATATATGTATGACAAACCTAAATTAGAAGCAGCCACATCCCATTTTAATGATCTAACACCATCATGCTCATCCAAGAGACTGCATAAGAATAGCCTCTTAGAAGAATTTGGTCCTCTAAACTTTTCATCCAGAAGTATGTAATTTTTTAAAAACATTAGAATGATAGGACAAAGTATCATGGGGCACTTATTATCACTATTAAGTAATACATTAGAGATATTAACTGACCTAGTAGGCTTTTTTTGACTGGTTGCAATTCCACTGTGATTAGACTGAGTTGCATATCTGGCTGCCAGACTGTATGAGGAGAAACAGAGAAATTGAATTAAAGAGATTCTTTGAACATGGAAAGAAGGCACAAACTTACAAGAAAACTATGAGTTAATGAAATGCAATTGGAACATGTATACACATGTACAAAGAATAAATTAGAGAATTATGATAATGCAACATACATAGCATGACATTTGATTATGAACACACTATGAAATAATGTGATGCACCCTCTGTAACAAAATGTCATCATTGATTTTAAAATTAAGCCTGTGTGGTACTATTCACATTACTGTAATAGTAGTAGTTTACCTTTTAAAATATTTAACCTTTGTAAGTGACTATGAAATCTTCAGGAAAGCTAGTTTTACTTATATAATAGAAAGATATCTTCCTCCAAAGTTAAAATGAAAATAAGAGTATGAAATGAGTCATTATTTTCTTTAATAAATTTTTCTAATCTGCTGTTTTACCTAACTGTTAGTTTCAAAACCACCTGATTAAAACAAATGGTTTCTAATAATTTATTGTTGCTCTTTCATCCTAGAGTGTTTTAAGGAAGTAAAACAGATATTTTTCTGGAGAAAGACTTACACAAAAATTGGGGTTAAATTCTTCAAAAACAAACAGTACTTATTAATGACAGCTTCTGGGCATTCTTTAATTATAGTTCTTAATGATCTTAAAATTAAAAAATATATATTTAATCAAAACCACACCAGAACATGTTATTTAAACTGAGTTTTGAAGAGCAGTGAATATGTTATAAACCAAACAAAAAAAATGTGTATTTTGAGTTAAATTGATTTCCAAATTACCCCTGGGGTCTGAAACTGGTGTTCTGAAGGACATGGTGAGACCTGAGACATGCTCACACACCCTGGGATGGTCATGGGTGGGCTGATGTGTGGAGAATCACTTCTCAGGTGACCGGGATGGCTCTGGGAACACAGTTGTTCCATGAGTAGTTTCCCAAGCTTCCCAGGAAACAGGAACAGCATGGGGTGTTGGAATCAGCGGAGCAGGGTCAATTGAGCCCTGCTGCAACAGATCCAGGTGCTCTGCTGCCATGCAGAGGGTGTCTTAATCACCAATGGGTTTCTTAAGATGATGACATATTTCCCAAGTTAACTTTTACCCTGTTGAGCCAGGCTGTGGTGAAAACATGCAGGTCCTTACAACTTCCTGGCTAGACAGGAATAAATCCTCATGTCTAGGAAGCTTTTCAGGTTCACGGAACACTTGTTTCTTCACATTTGGTCTGAGATTTGGTATTACTTGCATATAGTATTGCTTTCTGCATTCTAAGTATCCTGGACACTGAGTCAACTGGCCAAATGGCCTCAAGTAGCAATAAAAACAGAGGATGATTTAAATAAAAACCAAAGTGTCTCAGTGAAATAAGAAAAATAACTTAAAATTTAAAAATAAAAGTATTTAAAATAAAGAAAAAATTTTGTGAATGTCTCAGCCTATTGTGTAAGAACTATCTAAAGGTTCACCACTGTGGGTATCCTGTAACTCTCTCTAAGTTGAACATAAATTAGCAGGAGAGATAGCAATAAAACAAGGGACTTGAAGCTACCTCATTGGTTTCTCTTCCATTTTAAGAAATATAATTTCTAGTATAGACATGAAAAAAAAATACAAAATTTAGAGAGATCAACAACATGGCCCAAACCAATTTGGTTTTATGGCTCAGATGTGTTTTCTAATGTAATACAAGAGAATCCTTCTTGCCTATATCTTTATACCAAGCCTTCATAGTTCAATCTTTTGAAACTTGGTTTCTGCTTTGCTTCCCTTGCATTTGTGAAACTGTTCATCAAAGAACACAGAGTTGTGTTCAGTTCTCACCATACTCTTAACATCTTTACATTTGGCCTCATTGTTCCCTCTGCCTTTTCAGTCTCCCTCTTTCAGAGACTGTCATACCAATAAGCTCAATGGATTTGCCCGCCACTATTGTTATCCATTTTGTCTTTCCTTTAAAGGCCCTCTTTCTTTTAAAGAAATTATTTTTTATGTCCTCTTTTTTTCTTCAAATACTTAAGTGCATTCTTTCACTTAGCAATTTGTTTCTTGCATATGATTTCAAGTAAAATATACTAGAAACTAGAATTAATGTCTGCAACCTACTCCCAGCCATCAACATCAACTGAGTAAAAGATGTCCATTCCCATGACCCTCAAAATCACTATATTAGACTCCCCAATTTTCTTCTTTTATTATCTAAGTCCTAATCAGATCCTTTAGTTTGTTGATTTCTCTTCCCAGCGTCACCATTTTTTCCAGTCATATGGTCTTGAAACCTCAATTATTGATTCTTCCCTTTTTCCTTTTAATTCTTGCAGATTTTCAGTCAAGACCATGTCATTTGTATCTACATTCTCATTCAGTTTCCATGTTTATCACACAACTCAAGCTCCCAGCTCTTCCCACACCTCTAGCTCCTCTTATTTTTCTTAGTTTTTTGTTTGTTTGTTTGGCTATGACTTCCTTCACAGCAGAAAAGTATCCCCTCCCCCTCCAGAATGCTTATAATACCATTTCCGTTTTCAAATTTATAAACAGACTATCAAAAAGGTGAGTAGGTACAGCTAACATAATTTATTAGTAAAACAGACATAAGGAACATGTAGACACAGCTCTGAGGCAAGTGGGGTAGATAAATAAAGTCAGAACATCAGTAAACTATGGATTTTTCAGACATCTGGACTGAAGATTGCATACTATTTTCCTGAAATGTTGTCAAATGTAGCTAATGAGTGACAAAAATATCAGGAACAAAAATACAAAGGAAATAAATATTTTGAGACTCACTGAGTTCTACTAAAGGAAGTATCAGCTCATCTACTTGATAAAGTGTAATATCATGAGAATAGTTTTATTTCTCCTAACATGGAAGGAAAAAGGAGACAAGAGACAGCCAATAAATAAAAAAAATAAAAAAAAAAAAAAAGGATGAAACTCATCTGGTGTCCAATACACAGAAAGATTCAAACTGCCAGAACTTTCTAATCCAGCCTCAGTGCAAATTCCCAGGTGGGACTGTAATATCCATTTACTACAAGGAAAACTTCTCAAAGTAAACATCCTGAATTTCAATCACCTTACTAACCACCAGAGCCTTGCTACTCAAAGCGATCCACAGACCAACAAAATAGATACCACCTGGGGCTTGTCAGAAAGAAGGAATCTAGGTCTCCTCCCAGACCTACTGAATCAGAATCTGCATGTTAACAGAATCCCCAGGTGCTTAGCAGGCATAATAAAACTGAAGGAATTGTGGCTAGAGAAGAACCACACACATACAACCTTGCCTGAACAATAAACTTGTAGTTTCCTAATTCAAACTGCATAATCAGCATAATCAACATATCCCTCGCATGCCTCATTTAGTAACCAGCTGCTACTTCAGATACCATTGACTCCTTTCTTCCTCTAGAAACCCTAATTTCATCTTTCTTAATCCAACAGCTATCTCTCCAGCCACTCTTCTTATTTCCCAAATAAAGGTCCACTTACTGCCCCTCCCCTAAATCTTGTATTATAACCACGAACAGTTTTAAAATCATAATCCTAGGCACCAGCTAATTTTTCTCTCCATTCTTTTTATAGCAAATCTATACTTTATACTCAAAACTCAATCCTAAACTCAGAGTCTCCTTTCTAAATATTTTGCTGCTACTTTTTAAATATCCCACCTGGGCCTAACACCTACATTTCTGCCAGGTATTCCAAAAACATTCAAAACCTAACTCATTTTCCTTCTTTCAAAACATCCTTTTCTCTCTTTGATATTGCTATTTAAATTTGGTGTCACCAGCATTTTCTCCATTGAACATTATGGAATTGTCCTGATAATTAGCCACATTTTTTTTTTTACTTCACTGCCATGTATTTCCTGGACTCTAATAAAACCTCTTCATTAGTCTCTTTGTTATCAGTCCATTTTTTATTCCCAGGCAAATCAAATCATTCTCACAGGCAAGAGAATTAACTTTCCCAAGAAAGAGTGGATGGCAATCTCTTTCTTTGAAATTGTTGTCAACTCTACTTGTCTGAAGGATAAAATCCACGCTCTGTGATTTGGTTTCTAGATGCTTCAGCATGTCTCCCATCCTCTTTTTTACCTTCACCTCCTCTGTACATCTTCCACCCCACATTCTCCACGGTCACTACCCCTCTTCCCTGAGGCCTTTCCCCCCACCTTTCCATGGGTTTTCTCATGAGTTCTTCCTTCATATGAAATACTGTTTTTTCTCTTATCCACATAACAAAATCTTAATTTCAAAATCTTGCCCAGACATCAATTCAAGTTGAAGCATGTTTCAAATCCAGAGTTCGTTTTTCTCTCCCACTGGTGCATAGATCTTTATTCTTCTCTATTTAGTTGACATGGAAATTCATCAGATTAAATGTCTGTTTCCTGAACTGATTGTTTTTTGCTTACCAGGTTAGGCATTACTTTTTTTTTTTTTTTTTTTTTTTGCATTCTCAGTTCCTTTCATGGGGTTAGTATATATGCATATATAGTTAGTAGATGATTTATTAATTTTTACTGGGTAGTAGTATCAAACAATGATACAATACATCATTTCAGCTAGGAAAATTGTTTTAAGAATGGAATGATCAAAAGTATACTAAAGGAGAATTCAGAAACATACTCATCTTCATTGTGCCCTTATTAATGGTTAAGCCAGTTTATATTTTCTCTTTTCTTTTTTTTTTTGTTGCTAATTTTCAGAAATTCTTTATTTCATTTAATTTACTGGGGTGATACTAGTAATATTTGAATGCTAAGTAATTTGTATAAGTTATACTTCTTGTAAGTAGCAGTGTTGAAATTTAAACTTTCATTTGTTAGTTTCTATAATCCATGCTCTATTGTGTCACAGCATATCATCTTGTTGCAAACTGAATACAAATTTTAATATTTTAATGCTTCTTTTGCTGTTAATTCATTGCCTTGTGGATCTGCAAATACCTCCAAGGTATTATAATGGCAATTTCATACATCA